TTTTTCTGGTCATGAAAATGTTGAATAAAATTATCTTGCACATTGTGGTTTTACTGATGCCTGCATGTGCACGGGTGCTGTGGAGAAAAATAAGCACTACTGCTGTAAGGCAGAAGTGTAGCGGTACAGAAAAAAATATAACCAGGAGATTAGAATCTCCCAATTAAAAAAAATATAAACAGGGGGATTTAGAATTTCCTTAGTCCAGCCGACTGACTCCGAGCTGGCTGGCCACAGCCGGTGTACTGTGCACAAGTAAATAATGGGTAACTTGGTGAAGGATACTGTCTCTGGGCGGTTATTTCAGAGGTGACAGGAGAAAACAGTATGTGTCTGAAGAACATTTGCTTGCAACAATCATCTTGGATTGGGGTAAGCATTTCTGGCATCATGCCTTTATTTGGGAAGCTTGACTCATTTGATCCTGCTATTGAAGACTGGGCCCCATAGGTGGAAAGAAAGCAATATTTTTCCACGCGAATGACATTGGGGCATATGAAAAGCAATGAGTAATCCTTCTGACTGCTTGCATACCTACAGCATTTTTTGTTACTCAGGGCTTAACTTTCCCAGAGGCACCAGATACTAAAACCTTCCAAGAGTTGGTTCTCTAATAACCGAATAAAACCAACAGTGTCAATCCTGAGACACTATTGGTTTTATTCAGTTATTAGACACTGTTGGTTTTATTCGGTTATTAGAGAACCAGGGGAGACCATATTGGGATTTTTGATGTGGTTAAGATGACTGGCAGAGATATGTGATTTTGGTAAACCCTGAATGAAATGCCAGGAGACCATTTGGTACAAGGGATTAATGACATAACCATGCATACCTACTAGCTGAAGCCCAACTGGGCTTCAAACAGGCACTACAACTAGCTTTGTCATTCAGAAATGTGGTAAGTGGAGCATGGAAACTACAGGGCACAGACAATAAATGTTGCCTAGCCAGTGACGTCCTCATCCTATTAATGAATCAAGGATGAATAAAGGATCCCAATGGAAATGGACACTCTCACCTGTCCAACTAAGCTTAGGGAACATCACCTGAGTGTAGGCACTCACAGCCTCACACAGGGCATGTCCTGAGCCCACAGCAGAACCCCACAACAAAGCCAAGCCTCAGCCAAGTGCGAAAGGTTCTTCAGGATCTGGGCCAGCAAGCCATTGTAGTTGCTGCCAGTATGCAGACTCAAGACAGCGAAGGAGTCCAACAAGGCCTGACTTGAGTAAGAAAACCCGTGGGCCGGTACCCAGTAGATAGCACACACTGGAATGTCCATCTAAATGTGGGTTGGAACAATTAAATTGCTTAGCAACATCCAAATCAGAACTGATTAAAACTAATCTTTGGTTAAATGGTCACCCAGTTCCCATGGAGGTCAATACCAGCGCAGCTGAATCTATGGTTGCAGAACGTATGTTTAACAAGATTCGCTCGGGTCTCCAACTCTTAAGCTTGCGCAAGACCTCAGTAAGACGGAGAACATACACTGGGGAACCGCTGTCAATTAAGTGTACGAGTTTGGTTCCGGTCTCCTATTAGGAGCAGTTGGTACAGTTACTACTGATGGTAGTAAAAGGCTCGGGCTTAAGCCTATTGGGGTGGAATTGGTCGAGAAAGATTCACCTAAATTAGCTCAACTTTTTTCAATTAGAAATGGCTGTCTCAGTGACGTCCTAGTGAATTACCCATGAGCTTTTCCAGAAGTGCTTGGGTTTATCAAAGGGGCCAAAGCTTATTTACAAGTTGACCAGGAAGTAATTCCACGATTTTTTTTCCAGTGCCCTTTGCCTTACAGGCAGATACAGATGCAGAAATCAGGAGGTGGAGAGCGAAGGAATCATCAAACCAGTGCAGCTTACAGAATGGGTAACACCAGTCATATCGATTATGAAGCCTGATGGCTCAGTTCACTTTTGTGAGAATTTTAAGCAAATGGTAAACTGCTTCTCGCAGCTGGATAAACATCTAATCCCTTACATAGAGGACGTTTGCACAAGGTTGGCGGGGCAGGGGGCTGTCCTTTACAAAGCTGGACAGCAGCCAAGCCTACTGCAAATGTGACTAGACGAGAAGTCCCAAGAGTACGCCACAATTAACATTCATAAGGGTTCATACCAATATACGAGACTGCCATTTGGGCTTTCGTCGGCCTGCGCCCTTTTCCAGTGGGCCATGAAGAACATTTTACAAGGGCTACTCCAGCTCACCATATATCTGGATGATGTGCTAATAACCAAGAGCGCTTGGAGACCTCGGACATTGTGCTTAAATGCTTCTCCCAGGCAGGTTTAGAAGGGAAAAATGTGTGATCCAGGTGCCCAAGTGCCCAACCCTACTTGAGTTACAGAGTCGATAAAACTGGTTACACCCGTTGGAAGATAAAACGAGGGCAATCAAAGGACTCCCGACTCCCACATCTGTACCGAGGCTTAGGTCTTTCCTTGGGTTAGTGAATTATTACAGAAAATTCATACAAAACCTTGCCTCCGCCTTGGCACCCTTACACCTGCTACTGGAAAAGGGTCAACCTTGTAAATGGTGACATGGCCTAGAAGTAGCCTTTAGGGGAGTGAAAAAGCAGCTATCATCTAAGTTGTTGGCCCACTATGATCCGAAGTAAGAGGTAGTGCTGACATGCGATGCCTCCCCGTACGGTATCGGGGCAGTGTTGGCTCACCAGTGACCCAACAGAGAGGAACATCTGTATGCTCCCCAGACTTTGGCTGGTACTGAATGCAAATGTGCCCAGATGGAGAAAGAAGTTTTGGCGGTCATCTTTGGTGTGAGGAAGTTCCACCAGCATCTATACAGGCAAGAATTTGTCATTGTAACAGTCACAAACCCTGAAAGGCTATTGAAAGACAAGGTGGTGCCGCCCACAGCTTCCGGTAGAATTCAGAAGTGGGCCCCTATTCTCAATGCATACAAGTACAAGCTAGAACACCATCCAGGAAGTCAAGTGGCTAATGTGGATGCCCTGAGCCACCTCCCACAGGCAGATACTCCACTGATGGTGCCTCCCCGAGAAGGGTATGTTCTGGTTTTAAACCTCCTGGACACACTTCCAGTCACCACTGGCAGTATCTGACTGTGGACACAAAAAGATCCTGTCCTAGCAAAACTAAAACAGCGGGTGGTAATTGGGGAGATGACAGGGCCATCACAACCAGGATTGAAACCTTTCTGGACTTGGCGAGACCAGATCAGTGTAGAAGACGGCATGTTACTTTGGGAAGCAAGAGTGATCGTCCCAAGTCAAGGTCGCTGCCAGATACTGGCTGAACTCCACCAGGTTCATCCAGGAGTTTCCAAGATGAAGATATCTAGCAAAAAGCTATGTATGATGGCCAGAATTGAACGCTGGTATAGCTGCATTGGTGGGGCAGTGTCCAGAGTGCCAACAAGGGCAAAAATTGCCACTGGCGGCAGCCGCACATTCACAGGAATGGCCAGGTAAACTTTGGACTTGGTTACATGTCAACCATGCTGGTCCTTTCATGGGCTCAATGTTCCTGGTCAATGTGGATACCCATCCAACGGAGTTGGACGTGCATAAAGCCTGTTGAGCAAACTCAGGGATGACAATTGAGAAGCCGCACGCATCGTTTGCAATACGCAGACTCCCAGTAATAATGGTCAAGGACAATAGGACATCATTTACCAGCACGGAATTTGAGTATTTCCTGAAGTTGAATGGCACTTGGCACATAAGGACAGCTCTATAACATCCATCGTGCAATGGTCTAGTGGAAAGAGCAGTCCAAATGTTGAAGACAGGCTTAAAGAAGCAGCCTACAGCAGCACTCGATGCCAAACTATTCCAGTTCCTAATTGATTACAGGACCACTGCTCACTTAACAATGAGAACAAATCCAGCAGAGTTGCTGATGGGGAGCAGACTCCACACCAAGTTAAACCTGATATTCCCAGACCTTGTGGGGGATTGAAATGGCAGCAGAAACACCAATGCTGGCCAGATGCCTCCTTTAAGCAAGAGGGACAATTTAATTCAGGGCAAGGACAACCAGCCTCTGTGCAGTTATTTTGGAATGAAACTGCTAGCCTTACCTGGTCTGGCCCACATGTGACTGCAGACCCACAGCAATGTGGCTGATTCTTAACTGGTCTCTGGACAATTAGGGATGGGCAACCAAAGCTGGCCTAGCCAGTGACATACATATCCTGTGAATACATTTTTTAAAAGGCCTATGTTTTAAAGCGCCTCTTCTAATTTAAGGTTAAATGGAGCATTTTAGCTTCCACAAGTTCCACCCAGCAATAAGTCAATGTGACATCATCGTCATAGGAAGCAGCGGCCCAGCACAAGTCATCTTAAAATTCTACCGATAGACTTAAACACTGAAAACTGGCTTTTAAAAGAAATGTGGCGGTCCTGCTTTAGTGAAGCAGGGAGCAAAGAGCGTGCTGAAATACTGGGAAAGATTTGGGATCTTCCAAACAAGAATACAATTCTGCTGTGAGAGCAGCATGGTGTAATGTAACCACGGCAAGGGGATGTTTAAAGAAACTGAGAAGGAATACCTTTTCTGTACATGACAGCATTAGCCATCTATTAAGTAATGTTTCATCAACATTGATTTTGCTTTGTTTTGTCACAGAAAATGTCTTCAAACTTGGAATCTTGTTGCATAATGACACCACTGACTTTAACAGTTACTGTCTCCTCTCTATTTCCCATTTACATAGACCTAATAATTGCTATGTAACCAGGCCTTCCACACTTTAGTTGCCCATGTCCATTGACAAGCACCATTCAACTGCCACCTGGAGCCCAACAATTTCATTTGAACTGATTTTAAAAACTTATTTTCTAAAAACCTACTTCTTTCATCAAATCTGCCCAACTCTATCCCTTTCTCAATAAGTACAATTATGTAAAGCGCATTCCTTGCCTCCGAGCACAAAAAATTAACAAATAAGAAAACAAAAGATGGATGAAAGAGGTTTTGAGGAGTAAATAGAAGACTTACCTCAGAAGGAGTGGCTGTGAAATATATCATGCTCGACTGTCCGTTAGTCAGGTCCATACTTCCTATGTCACCCACCACAACAGCATTATGGAAAGCTCATAGTCATGGTGTGAGCTTCATCACTCCTATACAAAGAAACAGCAATCAGTTGCAAGGCTTCCAAAAGAATTTCAGTTTCTATTTGTCAAGCACGTTACTTTATTTTAGCAAGTGCATAAAAGTTGTCAGGCCATTTCAGAATGTTTAATTTTCTCTTTTGTGACAAGCTGATATGCTAAAAAGATAATTAGCACCCCAAATTAATACCTTCAAAACAATTGCCATAAATTGACAAAGCAGCTGATCACATTAAATTATTCAAATGACAGAAAGATTAACTCCCAAGAGTGGTACAGAAAAATTTCCAACAGGAATACATTTCTGAAAAGCAAACTATTAATTGCGTGTGCTTTAGCAACAAGAGTTTTACATTTAAATTGCAAAATGATGATGCAGTACAACATCTATGCAAATTAATTCCCAACATACTTACTATTCCAATCTAACAATTATTTAACTTATTTTTCTAATCAACCTGTTCAGAGATGTTCTTATACACCTCTTGAGCAGATGGGACTTGAACCATGGCCTCCCGATCCAGGGGTAGGGATGCTACCACTGCGCCACAAGAGGGCCCCCAAAATAGGGACTGCTTCATGAATTTGAGAGTCATCCTTGCACATGGGCCATGTTAATATTCTCTGTATCATTCCAATTTTAGTATATGCACCACCAATGTCAGTTTATTCAAAAGTATTTTCATCACAATTAATTTAAATTTCATTTGGTAAAGTATGTGAATTTTTCACATTATTATTTTCATTATTTTCCTTCATATAGCTGGGATATGCTCCTCGAACAGCAACCTGCATTTGATCTCATCCACATCTTCACTAATCTGTTCCACAGCCGGGCATAATCATGTTCATCCTTGATGTCTACACAATGACTCCTAGTTGATTGCCCTTTCTGGGCGATGGTAAGGAGGTCAATCACAGTAACCTAAACACTACACCGAATAACAATAGTTAGCCCAACATGAGCTTGGAATCAAACCCTGAATCTTCTGAATTTCTACTCCCATTTAACACATGGTTATAGGTAAACAATCAGAGAAATCATGTTTTACTGAATTCTATTTTTGTTGAACTACTATCATCTACCACACTTGTCTTGATTTCAAATTTCACAAGGAAATTTGAATTGTGCAGGTCCAAGTATGCATCTTTAACCCCAGGATGAAAGCTCCACAAAAATCAACAATTTTGTATCTCAGCATAGTGTGCACCGAAAACATCCCAAGGCTGAAACATACAGTTGCAATGCAAATTCTGATCACAGAGTTTATTATCTAAAATAGAAACAGAAAATGTCTAAGAAACTCAGCAGGCATGGCAGCGTTTATGGAGAGAGAGAAAGACTTGATGCTCCAAGTCCAAAGACTCTTCTTCAGATTTCCCAGTTGAACAAGGGGTAGTAGAATTAGTGGGAGGTGATGGCCTAATGGTATTATCACTGGACTGTTAATCCAGGTAATATTCTGTGGACACGGGTTTGAATCCGGCCACAGCAGATAAAATTCAATTTTGAAAAAAGGGAATAAGAGTCTCATGATGACCACGAATTGTTGGGGGAAACCCCATCTGGTTCACTGATATCTTCCAGGGAAGGAGTGTGCCATCTTTATCCTGGTCTGGCCTACATGTGACTTCAGACCCAAAGCAAAGCGGTTGACTCTCAACTGGCCTCTGGGTAATTAGAGATGGATAATAAACACTGACCAGAGATACACACATCCCTTGAATGAATTAAAAACTACAAAACTAATAAAAGCAAAAATGCTGCAGATGCTAGAAATCTAAAATAAAACAAGACAATGCTGGAGAAACTCAACAATTCTACTGAAACCCAGTAGACGAACCTGTGCTGCAAAACAACTTTTTCAGCCCATAACACAATTTGAACACTATGCATTTAGCCAAAGCTTTCAACACAGAAGAATGTCTTCAGTTGCTCTCTAAAGTCGTAAAAATAATTTAAGTCAACAAAGAAAATACTGGGGGGGGGGGGGGGGGGGGGGGG